ATATGTTAAAAAAATTTATATATTAAGTTTAAAAATAATAAAGCATTTAATTTTTTCTTGGTCCTTGGAATAATGAAAACAGCTACAAGCCACAAGTAAATAAACTCAAAATCCTAATTTCCAAACCTATTATGTTACATATATTGAACATAAATTATTTCTGGCATATTCACTAGCAAGACACAGATTATGAGTAGCAAACTACAATGTATTGAATATATTTTCTTTCGCATGTTTTAGATTTATCTTTTTGAATATTTAATCTTTTATAGAATTTGTTCTTGAGTCCCAACTTGGTTAATATCTTTTCACTCGTGTGATTTATATTTTCTTTGTATTTGCTTAGTTTTTTTTACGCTGTTGTAGAATAGTTGATGGACTTATACTCTAGTCATCTTTCATATTTTCTTAATTCATCGCCCTTTAAACTGTAAAAATGTCTAGAGAGTTTTACTAAATTCGATAAAAGTACGTATGTTAATATATTCTACTTCTACTTGTGACTTTTACGTGACATTTAAAAAACTACCGAAAATTAATCGAACTGTACTGATACCGAAGAGAAACCGACATAATTGGGACGATTTTGAAAAGTCTAATTTTGATTATACATAATAAAATAACCAAAAAATTGGTACGATATAAATTTTATAAAATAAACCGGCCGACTTCTCCATTTCTGAGAGATGGGAAAGTAAATATTACTATATTCTTTCTTCCCTCTCTTCTTCCTCCCGACTTCATACTCGTTCTAACCCAACAAAAAAGGCTTTTTGAACTCTAGTCCTTAATTGAATATAGAACGATTTAGTTACAAGAGTTCAATTCGAGGAAAATATAAAATATAGGAAAGTCCTAGGTCCGAACCATCGACACTTCTAGTAATTAAAGGGGCTGACTTAAAAGGAATACGTATATTTTTAGTCGCTCCTAAAAATAATAGTACATAAACTGGAGTTATTTTGTACATATGTATATTATATATAAAAAATATATATATTTATATACTTTTTGACTAACCAATACAATTAGTTACAGCCGATCGACCAGTTTTATTTTTTGCCCGACTCAAAATCCTTTATCAACATATACTAGTTTTGAAGAAGATCGTTTTGAGCGAATCCAACCGATTATTTATATAGAGATCCTTTAACAAATGTGCTTTGGGTTGTCGTTAAGAGTAAGTTAAAGATCATTGAACTGTTACTATCTTGGCTATCATATTCAAGTTCTCCAATTTTATTTTTGCTATTTTTCCTTATTCGCTGTATACATACGTTAACTGCTATTGAACTACGCAAATGAATTGACAAGGAGAATTGTCTAATTTCTTAATTAGAAATATGTGCACTTACGTACTGATCACTCAAAAGATTTTCTAAGTTGGAAAATATATAGTTTAATAATTTTCTCGAAATATTATTGATTATGCAATTACTCATGAATATAAATTTGTACATTGACGGTATACTCCTTTTTTCGTTTTCGATTTTACATTAATAGGTTTAGCAAAGGATATCTCGATCAACTTTCAAACTTCTTGGCCTAATACCAAAATGATATACATTAAAACAATAAAGAATTTCAAAGTTCCCGAAAGTCCTTTCGTCATCCCATAATTTTCTCTTGTTCCTTCCTTTTCTTTTGCTAGACTTTTCTAGTTAGTAGTTGTTGCTTTCAAAGTTCAAACCATTGGCGGGATTTAGAATTTTCAGAACATGAGTTATCTATTAAAAAAAAAAAAAAAAAAAAAAAAAAAGCAAGAGAGTATTTAGTGAGAATTGATTCTTCTTTCCTTAGGTAAACAACTCAATATTCAACTAAATGCATCAATATTGGACCTCGTTAAAACATGAGCCCCAACAAATAATATTAGATTAATTCTGAAAAATATGTACATAAAATCCCTAATTTGATGGAAAGATAATGAATTCATGACGTGCCCCATAATTTGGGCCTAAATCTGCCCTTGTTCGAAACGACTATATCAATGTCTTTGAAATTTGAAGGGAAAAGGGCAAAATATACCCCCTCTACTTTTGAATATTATTTATATTTAAACTCCGTAATACTATTCGGCTAAATTTACCCATATCATCGGCAAACTTTTAAAAATTGCCCCTTGATCTATTAAGTAATCCAAAATCTCTCAATTTTCTTTTATTTAAATCACTTGTTATTCTTTTTGCTCCACTATTTTCAGAAATTACATCATTATGTGAATGCTAAAGATATTAAATTATATAAATTATTCATGGATATTTTTAATTACCAATGCACCCACTTCTCTTCTTGTGCTAACAGGTTTGGAATTGATTTAAAATTTTATTTATTTTTCAATCATATACAAAGTAGAATTAAGTGGGTCTATTTATTGTGTATTATATGCAGTTGATCATCATATATGTAGATGTCTATTTATTGTGTATTATATGCAACTGATCATTATGTATGTACATGCATATTCAAATATATTTTGCTATTGTCTATAGAGTTCGATCGACTAAATTAAGAGTGTATAATGTGTAGGTATTTGATTAAAGCAAAGTTGAATTCGACAATGTAAAATCTCCAAGGATTTCAACCTCTATCACTAATACTTGCAAAGTTTCCATACCTTTGGTGCAACGAATTCATTAAATTGGGGTGTTGTAATACTTTTGAATTTAGACAAGTTACCTAATTTTGATTCTTTAATTTACTATACTTTGTTTACTAACCGTTGTATTATTTTACTATTTCTTTCTCTTATTTTTTTCAATTAAAAAAGCAGGTAAATGTCAATTATTTCGAAAATAGTGGATCAAGAAGAAGAATAAGTGACTTAATTAAAATAATTTGGGGGATTCTGGGTCACCTGATAGACTCGGGGGTAATTTTTAAAAGTTTGTTGATGGTAGGGGTAAATTTGGCCGGATAGTATAACAGCAGGGGTAAATTTGACCGGATAGTATAACAGAGGTTAAATATAGACAATATACGAAAGTATAGGAGTATATCTGACCCTTTTCTCAAATTTGAATAATGTCATTAGAAAATAATTTTTTTTAATTGAAAGGAATTAAATAAAACCCACATGAAATAACTTTGATGGTAAATTATATTTCTTGTTTGAGCTAGCGTTGACAGCTTCAACAAATAAATCTGTGTTTTAATAGTAAAAAGTGATCTGAAAACTAAAACTAATTAAATTTGAGCGGAAGAAATTCCTGATAAATGGAAACAATTAAAATGGTTATCGCGTTTTTCTTCTGATATAAAATAAAAACAAAGGATGAAGAGGAGAATGGAGATCAAGAAAGATCTGAGATTTAGAATTGATTTACGCCGACTATTTTCCCTTAAATTATTCCACTCAAATAAAAATTACTACTAGCTCCGAACCTATTTTCTTTTTGGTCCGTTCAAAAAAGAATAATCCCTTTTTTAAATTTGAAAATAATTTTACTTAAACTTACAATTCTACCCTTAATGAGAAGTTTTTAAAACGATACAAATACTCTGTTTTTGAATTGTTTAGGACCACCAATTTTAAAAGTCGTCATCTTTTCTTAAATTTCGTGCTCGTTCACATAAATTGAACCGGAAAGTATTAATAACCTGGATTACTACTCGCCGAGGGTCCCACCAAATATTCCTCGTTTATTATGTGGCGACTAAAATGAAAAATCTCTCAAATATAAAATAGTTGTAATAGAAAGATGTCACACAAAATCCATATATACTTTTCACACAGTATTTTCTTCACATTAGTTTAGAAGCATGTGCTACTGAAATTAGTAATACAGGAGGATTGTACTATCAAAAATAGTAATATTGAATGTGGTGCGGGGATTAGTAATGTATCGATTAAAATACAAGAATTATAATATAGAAATTATTTATTATCGGATGTTCGATTTTTGTACAAAAAGTTATATATATATATATATATNTTGACATTTGATTGGTTTTATTCATGTATTACTAATTATCGTATTTCTATTCTACCATCTATCTTACATACAAATAACGTACAAATTGCTGCATTACTTATGTGTGGAAAGAAAAATTGAAACTAAATATTATATGTAGTATACTAATGTTAATGTGGAAAATGTAACAATACCAAATATCGGTTGGTGTTTTTGTTCCCAACTTGTGTACCAAACTGGGGCGGAGCCAAATGTATTCAAGGGTTGTCAACCGACACCTCTTTGTATAGCTAGGAAATATTTTTATGTATACATATTATATATGAGGGTGTTTGAATTGATTTATTTTAAGTGTTTATTGGCTTTTAAGCACTTTTCTAGTTTTTAAAATGTTTGAAAATGATAAAAAAAAATACTTAAAAACACTTACTTTTAGGCATAAAAAGTACAAAAATAAGTCAAAGGCCAAAAGATGAGTATTACCGACTTATGACTTATGACTTTTAACTTTTAATTTACTTTTTAAAAATCAATCCAAACACCCCTCTATTGCTTTCCTTGGCTTATTTGTAAGTTTATTTGTATTTTGATCATTATTAGAAAAAATTTTAGCTCCCCCAATGTTAGTGCCACTGCCATTTATCACAAATTCACAATCACCAACCAAGAATGTACTTAAAAAAGAATGGGAAAAGTGCATTTGTCCTTTTCACGAGCTCGCTTACGTTTGCACGTGTGTGTTTTTTTGCAGCCATTTATTTCGTCAAAAACCATATGAAAGCTCTAGGAAGTGTTCTAGAAACCTCAAAGAACCCAACATTAATGTACAAACTCTCTTTTACTTTTCTTCTTTCTTTCTTTCTTTCCTTCCGCTCGCATCACATGACCTGAAAAAATCCTTAATTCACATGATTGACAAAACGCGGTCTATTTTATCCACTTTTAGAATACCGGCCATTTCGTTGACTAAACTTAACCAACAGGGAAAATTAAACAATAATACTACTACTACTATTAAATTGTCCTAAAACTGTCATGTATTTGTGAAACACGCAAAAGTCAGAAACAAGCTTTAACTCAAACCTATATATATGTGAAGCAAAACCAACCCAAGTGTATCATATATCCTCTTACTTCTAAGTTCTCACATTTCTTTCAAAGTTTCAAACTTGGTATACAAGAAACTCTTTGTATTTTCGTTCTTGATTTCATAGTATAATTTTGAATTAATTTTCCAACACAACATGACTGGCATTAAAAGAAGCAGAGAAGAGGACATGCAAGTGGAAGCAGAAGCCATGGCTAACTGCGCCTTAATGCTATTGTCTCGTTTAAACAACAACAACAACGCGACTTCAACAGATCGAGATTATCACAATGATTTCGAATGCAAGACTTGTAATAAACGCTTTCCATCTTTCCAAGCTCTTGGCGGCCACCGTGCAAGTCATAAACGGCCAAAATTACTCGCCGGAGCCGGAGAGTTTCTTGTGCAATCCAAAAAGAATAAAATGCATGAATGTTCTATTTGTGGTATGGAGTTCTCTTTGGGTCAAGCTTTAGGTGGACATATGAGGCGTCACCGTGATGAAATTAATAAAACGTCGGTGGCAGCCGGAAACACGATGATTCCGGTCGCCAGAAAAAAGATGATACCGGTTTTGAAGAAGTCAAATAGCAGCAAGAGAATTTTTTGCTTGGACTTGAACTTATCCCCTGATGAGAATGTTGATCTGAAGTTGTGGCCGACGGCGCCGGTTTCATCTCCGGTTTTGCGATGGTTTTTTTAAGTCCCTTTCCATTGTTATTCTTGTGGATATTAATTAGGAGAAGCTGACAAGCTATAGTTGTTTTTTTATTATTATTGCTATATTCTTTTCGGACACCGAATTGAATTCATTTTTCATGTATATTTACTTGATTCCATTGATTCTTTTACTCGTTCAGAGTATATGCTTTTCTTTTCCTTGAGATTGGTTTTACCTTGAGTAGTACTGGTTTAATCAGACGATATTGAGCAATTTGTAAGATCGATAATATCATATGAAACATTACATATATATGGAGTTTAACATGATTAAGGATTTAATTTTTATATTACTGTCTTAATTTATAAGTGATTTGATTGTATAAATATTTTTGTAAATTTGAACTTTAACATAAAGGTATAAGATCCATTAATTGAATGTGATGCATAGGTTGCTATCTATCTTTATGTCAACAATCATCATTATCATATCTATATCTATATTTATCTATCTATCTATCTATATTATTATAAAAGCACGAATGTTTCACGCTAAATATTGAGCGACGAAAATATCCTCAAAATATTGTCCGACTTTTACACCCCTTAATAACTCAATTATTTCTTACAAAGAAGCAACCTCACAGTTGGATAAATTTGTAATAGCAAAAATTTTATCCAACACCTTAGACTATGAATTCAACTAATAATAGAATTATTCGCTAACTTTGTAATAGAATGTGAAGTCCTAATGCCTTACTAATCCCGGTTGAATAATAAGGTCGATCGGAAGATGCTAATTAACTTCTATCAAGGTAACTTTATACTCTCTTTACTTTTCCATTAGAGCATCTGTTGACTGCTAGCAATATTAATATATTTCTTTGATTGTTAATCCCTCTTTCGACCATAATTATTTGATTTCAGTACTCTCTCTCCGAAAATAGTTTGATTAAAATAAAGCTTGAATCTCTTTAATTATGGCATATATTGGCATTCTTCGTGTAATTTGGATCCTCATGGTACTTTTGCATCGTAGATGGCAAACATGTTTAACATATTAGGACTCTTATTCCTATTCATACCTCCAATCAAGCAGAAATCCAGTTCATAATTTATATAATTATAAATTCATGCACATATATCCAAAACGCAAAATCTAAATTATTTTAAATATGTGAAGTTGTAGTATTCATAGTATTTGTCATATTTCGTTCCAACCTAATTTTGGCAAGGTTCAAGAGAAGCCATTGCACGAGTATATAGAAAAACCCATGAAGCACCGGAGGTTCAGCTTCATTGGAGGCATGTACCGACCACCACCTAATCCTATTTCAGAAATATCAACTGGATTATATTTTGTCAAATACTATATTATAAGGTTTAATTGTTATATTTTGATTACGACTCTTCATTATAGGGCAATGATTTCATTAACTTAATTTTAACCCTATGTGTCGATCAGTATATATTTAGTCATCTGTTGTCGAAAATTTTATATTTTGAATTTGACAATCTAAAGCTTGAATTCTTGTCGCCAACTGCAAAAAGGTAATTTGTTTGGGCTTTTGTTACTGTTATAAATATTCCGACAATGATTCATATTCTTAGGAATAGTTGTATAATAGCCATTTAAGTCACTTTGATAGATTTCTATCACAAATTGAAACAAAAATATATAACTAATTACTACTTTTTCCCCAGTATTTTTGCAAGTGTGATTTAATATGAGGTGTGTCGAAGGTCTGGGAGGCGAGAATCAGCTTTAAAGTTAACATTGGTTGAATCTTGGAAGTTGAAATAAGGGATAATATTATTTTGGTAAAGATATAGAAATATAAGACTAAAGAAGACCTAGAAGTTACGTTGCTACATAAGACAGTACTTGAAGGAAATAAAATAGATATTACAGTTCCGATAGTTAATTTGTTTTATTTATAAGTTGTTCATGTTATTATCACGAATAAAAATCGATTGCTTTTACAATTTAATTGTAGTTCATTATGAGAAGGACCATTGATTTTGAATTCTCAATCTTTCTTTTTACAATTTGGAATAATTATTTGTAGAGAAATCACAACTTGTAGGACCAAATTAAGGAAAATAAGATGATGGGGAGGAATATACAAGAATAAAAGAGCTAACTTGGTACGTAAATCATTCAAGTAGATATATTTCTTGAGGGATAAAATTATAATCATCATTAGTATTTGAAGTAAACTATGAATACATAAAATCACTCTAAAATATTTGTACAAAGGCGAAAGAAACACAAATATATATATATATANAATAAAATTTGACGTAGAAGAATCACCTGGCAATGGGAAAGATAAAGTAACGTTGTTTTTCTAAAACATCGCTTGACATTGATGATATCTTTCCATAGTCGTCTTAGTTGACATATTGATGAGATGAGACATGACGTGAAAAATGTATATTGTTTAAAATGGAATAAAAATTATCTATATTATTATAAAAGTATGAATAAAATGTTGGATTACAAAAATAACCTTTTAATATTAAGCATAATAACTCACAATAAAAGGACATAATCGGAATTCTAGACATTAGCCTTGTAATCCTATTAGTTTTAGGACATAATACTACACGTTAAGAATCCTACATGATTACCTTTAGGAATCCTATTAGTATAATTATTTTCGGGCATAGATATTAGCCTTGTAATCCTATTAGTTTTAGGACATAATACTACACGTTAAGAATCCTACATGATTACCTTTAGGAATCCTATTAGTATAATTATTTTCGGGCATAGATATTAGCCTTGTAATCCTATTAGTTTTAGGACATAATACTACACGTTAAGAATCCTACATGATTACCTTTAGGAATCCTATTAGTATAATTATTTTCGGGCATAGATATTAGCCTTGTAATCCTATTACTTTTAGGATGTGCTTATTAAAAAATTTCTATTACCAATTTAATTTGAAAACGTGTTATATTGTCCAAATCCATTTAGAAACACGAGAGCATATATTATTATAAAAGTACGAATATAATATTGATAGACTAAAATATTAAACATCAAAACTCATAGGGAAAGGACATAGTTGTAATAACTTTTTTTTTGGGACTACAATAACTTCTATGTTAATTTTTTTAATATTTAAGATTTTAAAATTAATACAATCTTGTCTATTGAATTCTTATTAAAAATATGTAGGCAAGTTTAATAAAATAAATTTCATAAGAATCCTCCATATTGGTAATACATTACCACTTTATAATATTCGATACCCAAAAAACGTAATACTAAACGGACTGCATAAAGCGTTGAAATTAAAAAAAAATCCCCACGATAATATATTATTATATTATATTTGAATTGCTTTCCTACTCAAATAATTTTTTTTATTATTAATTTTTCGTGTAATATAGATAAAATATACCAAATTATTAAAGAACAACTAAGACATGTTTTAAGAATATAAATGTATGAGAAAAGAAAGAAAGATGTTGGTAAGAGCCAACAAACTAATGATTTTGCAAACATAAAGATCTAAAAGTGGAATGTCATCGATCTTTTTACTCTTTGAAAATAAAATTTATAGTGGATAAAATTATAATCATTGTTAAATATTCAAACATGAGATGAACTAATATTAAGAATCTAAATCAATAGAAAATAAATTATATTTTATGTTAAAACCAAATAATTAAATCTTTCAATTAATTATTTAGCAAGAGAATCCAATTAAATTATTTTTTAAATTCATCATATGAGTAAAATTATTTTTCAAATTGAAAAAAAATATAATATTAAGAAGGACATACAAGTGTTTGAGGAAGCACAATCAAAGCTAAATCCTGAACAAGAATAAATTTTCAAGACTATATTATAAAACAATCGACCCTGGTATAGCGGGATTATCCTTTGTAGATGCCTCCGGCGGAATCGAAATAATATTTCTATGTCATGCATTACTTGTAAATGTCATATCAAGAGGCATGATATTGTTAGCAACAAGAACAAGTGGTGTACCAACAACGATTTTATTATGAGGTCGTACAACTCACTTTAGATTTGATATACCTCTTCAAACAACTGAAATAACCATCACAAATATATCAAATCAGATCAATAGTACTAAATTTATAAGAAAAACAAAAGTGATAATATGGGATGAAATGTAAGACGATCGAAACAATCGCCCAGAGTTTAAGAGATATATTGGATATCGATGAACCGTTTGGTAGAAAAATATAACGACCCGACTTGTCGTTTTAAGAAATAACGCCCCGTTCAACGACTTAAGGTCTTGAGCAGCTTCGTATTATGGTATTGACTTGCGTTCGCGGTTGAATTCAGTTACCGGATAATTCAGGGTGATTTGGGATACTTGGTCCCTAAAATGGAAGCTTAAGTCTTAGGATTTTGACCATAGTCGGAAATGTGTGAAAATGACTCCGGAATGGAGTTCCGTCGGTTCCGTTAACTCCGTTGGGTAATTTTGGACTTAAGAGTGTGTCCGAAAAATTATTTGGAGGTCCGTAGTGGAATTAAGCTTGAAATGGCGAAAGTTGAATTTTTGGAAAGTTGGATCGGGGGTTTGACTTTTTGATATCAGGGCCGAAATTCGATTCTGAAAATTGGAATAGCTTTGTTATGTCAATTATGACTTGTGTGCAAAATTTAAAGTTTTAAAGTTCATTAGGCTTGAATTGGGGTATGATTCGTGGCTTTGATGTTATTTGATGTGATTTGAGGCCTCGAGCAGGTTCGTGTTATGTATTGGGACTGGTCGGTACGACTGGACTGGGTCCCAGGGGCCTCGGGTTTGATTCAGGGTGGTTCCGGACCAAGTTTGGGTATTTTGATGCTGCTGGTTGCTGGTTCTGGTATTGTTCTTCGCGTTCGCGAGGAGCCTCTCGCGTTCGCGAAGAAGGATTTTGCTGTTAGGACTTTGTTTTTCGCGTTCACGAAGAGGTTCTCGCGTTCGCGAAGAAGGAAATTTTGCTATTCGTCGTCAGATTTTAGAGGCTCATATCTCGCAATCTATAAGGAATTTGGAGATGATCCAAAAATAAAAGTTGTAACTCTTTGTGTCTAGTTTTCGAAAAGATAAACCATTTATTATTTGGAATTGTGTATAAAATGTTATGGAGGATACACTATAGGCTGTCGGAGAGGAGTTTGGAAATCTCTGTTGCACATGGCTAACTTTAAAAACTTATATCTGGTAATCTATAAGGAATT